CCACCTGTTTTGATTCTCAGTCACTAATGGTCTGTCAGAACTGGCAGCTGTCTTGGGATCGCCTTACTTAGGGGCACACAAATATTTCTGCTGCTTCTCATTCTTCCTCTGTAGGAACGTCCGTGGTCCATCTGCCCAGCTGTACCGGGCCAGCATTCCTTACTGGCATCACACACACCCCTGCCAGGGCTCAGTCCAGGAAGCAGGCTTCAGGTGTCTCCGCTCTGTACCTCGGATGTCTTCTCTGCTTCCCTGCCACAGCCACACCCACCCCCAAGTCTGGGGTTTCCTTTATGACTCTGGGGGGAGGCCAGATTCTCTTCTTCTGTTTCCCCAAAGGTTAATCTATACCCAGATCTCCTCCATCCTCCTCATGGTTTAGGCTTCTGAAAACCACACCAAGCAGAGACTCAGCTCCAGGCCCCTTCTACTCTTCTCTCTGCCATGACCCTCCCTGCGACAATGAGCTCAAAGCCAGGCTGTATTTAGATGGAAGGTAAGGTAGAAGAAACAACTAGGGAAAAAGTAAAAGAACAGAAGCTAAGACTTCAAACATACTATCCCTCTGCTTAAGGATTAAATAAAATAGCATGTGAAAGAACTTGTCGTGTTTCAAGGGCCTAACAAATGATGGTTATTTTTTTCCCTCTTACCTGTAGGACACATTGCCTATATCAATTGTTTGGAAATGAATCATATCCTACCTTAGAACATCTATCATACTGGCAATTTACTCATATTTTTATTTTATTTTTGGTGTCTATATGTTATTCTCTCAAATAAATGTAAGCTCCTGAAGACCATGGTTCGCATCTTAAATTAACTGAATCTAACAGAAGGCTAGTCATACAGAAAATGCTTTAAAAATGGGTGCAGATCTAGCATCAGAAATCCAAAATCATGTTTGCAAACATTTAAGGAAGATTCTTTATGGAAAAAATGAGGTTATTTTAAGATTATTCATAGGCATGTTTATGTCTAATTGTTAACCAACAGAGGAGTCACGTGGCCTATTCAGACACCCTAGATATTCAAAGGAAAGATTTTTTCAATGCATCTTTTATTTTTTTAAAATCCTGCGTCACAACCATCCGAGTGGAAATATATTTCAAATTTTATACTGGCCTCCTATTGAAAAATGCTCATTGAATCAATTTCCTGGAGCCTTGTCACTGATAAATAGAGTGCATCACACATCTGATATTCTTGAGTCAAAAATATAGAACATGAGTGTATTTTGCTGAGAGAAGATGGCTTGTAGGAAACTGTCTTAGCATTCAAGACAGTCACAAAGTTTGGCCTTTGAGGCTAAAGCTGCTGAGTGATCAGTTAAAGAGGGCTACAGGATAGATCCTAATGGGCTTTCTCTCAGTCTCATTCTAGGCCTGGTTGCCTGGCACCACCAGGAAACCTCGGTTGGTCCTGTGCATGGATGGATGTATTCACATTATAGGAACACACACTTTACCACTTCCTACCGGTGTGACTTTTGGTCACCTACTTCCCCTCTGTAAGCCTAAATTTGTTCATCTATCACTATAGAATGAGTATCTACCTCCCAGCAGTTTTATGAAGATTCCATGAGATGATGTATGCTGAGGATGTCACATGGTGTTGGGTACATATTGTATGCCCAGTAAATGATAGTAGTTGTTGTTGGATTTGCTGTTCCAAGGAGGAGGAGGCTAAGAGGAGATCACCAACTGGATGCCCTGGAGAGGGGCAGCTCCACTATTCACACACAGGCTCACACCCTCCGCCTACAGATCAACAGAGATGCACCTTTGCTGGGAAAGGAACATGCTAATGGCTTGAAGGAGCACTTTATGCATGGGGGCACTAAGGATTTAAATCAGAAGACCCCAGTTAGCGTCCCCATAGCCATGGGCCATGTCAACTAATTCCTCAAAGCCAAATCTGTTTAGAGCTTTTTGTAAACTGAGCACCTCAAAAGAAACTTATCCTTTATTTTCAAAGTGAAGATGCTTTGGGTGGCAAGTAACAACACTGTTGGTCAAAATGGCTCAAACCATAAAGATGGATAAGTGGCACTCCAGGCTGAGAACGTCCCAAGGCAGAGCAGGGAGCAGGGCAGCTCACGCTCTGCTCTTCCCTGCTGGGGCTCTCCTGGCACTGCCCTTCTCCATGCAGGGCCTTGGTCATCACCAGTCTGCTGTCAAGATAGCTGCAACAGCCGGCCTCCCATCTTCCCAGAATTGAGTCCAGGAAAGAGAGCAAGAGTTTGTTCCAGAAACTTTCAGAAGAGGAAAAATGGAAGCTTTTTATACAGAGGTTGACAATTAACTTATTTCATGATACTGGCCTCAATTTGTTCTCATGATTCTTCTGGATCAGTTCCTGTGGCTTATTGAATGCCAGGTGATGGCTTCATCCTGGGTCCCAGGTCCACCCCTCAATCAATAGCGGGTGCAGTAGGGATGGAATAATCTAATTAGCTTGAACTAAAAAGAGTCTGTCTCTGGAACTCAAGTCAATACCCTAAACTTTAGGGCTGCCTTTGCAAGAAGGAAGGAGTGAGATGGATATTGGAAAGACAACCAGTGCCCAGCACTCTGCTGATACTCAACTCACCATCTCCTTCAATTCAAGCAAACAATTACAAAACGTCTGCTATGTGCCAGGCATGGTGCAGGATGCCAGGAAATTGCAAGATGCCGGTGTTGTTGACAGGAATAAATGAGCCGACTTATGCAAAGTGCCTGTTGCAGCACTCAGCCCCTAACACTTGCTCAGTATTATCTTCATTAAAATGAATAATGTATGAGTGATCCCTGCCATCCAGGAGGGAAAGACTCAAACTAATAAATTATAACAGTGTGCACAGAGTGACAAGAGTAAGCCTGCAGGTGGCACAAAGGATAGAGATCACAAGAGGAGGGCGCAAGAGGCCCAACCCCACAAGAAGCTATAGCCCAGTGGTTCTTAACCTTGACTTCACATTCGATTCACCTGAGAAGCTTTTAAAACTCCCCATACCAATTAAGTCAGAATCCCTGGGGATGTGACCCAGCAGCAGGCATCAGTTTGTCTTTTTAAGGATCTCCAAATGATTAAAATGTGTAGCCAAGGCTAAAAACCACCATATTTTAGGCTACTGAGGACATAAACACCTACATGCAAACCATTGGCTAACAATGCCAGGTGGTGAGGGGTATGTTAAAATGAACGTTCCAAGGCTCAGGGTGGGGAGGGGGCAGTCCAGGCAGGGAGAGGGTATGCAGGGAAGGGGGCTTAGGGATAAAGGGAGACACATGGTGGGCAGAGGGGAATCATGTTCCATGAGCATCAGGAAGCCGGAGGCTTACGGGGCCTTGAAGAACTGTGAGATTTGCCTAATCTAAGCTATTTAGGGGTGGTGTCTCCGTGTAAAGAGGAATGGGTTTAAGCAAAGACATATGGGCAGACGTGGAAGGTTTATGGATCTGGATTCAAACAGGAGAGAGAGAACTGTAATTTCAACAGAAAAACCTTTTTAAAAATTATAAATATGGGGATTGGAGTAACATAGGATTAGTGGGTAAGAACTCTAAAGAGAACTCTAAAGAAAATAGGAATAGAATATGTAAGGACCATCATCCAACTACCCTCAGGGCTGACGTAGAGCACCCCAGAAAAAGCCAGCCCACCCCCAAGCTGAGGTCTAGACTTGGTTGGCACCGCGTAACTTGAAGAATAGCAGAGAAGTTGCAGGGGTGTCGTGTGTTGGAAATCTGGCCTGTAGGGAGCCAGAGAAGACTTTCACAGAAGGTGTCTCATGGCAGCACACACTGTTAGCAACTGCTGGCAGCAAAGAGGGCTGGGGAAGCTGCTGGCCAGGTGTTGCAAGAGCCAGGCATTGGGGAAGCTGAAGGAGCCACCAAGAGGGCCCAGGAGAACCTGGAGGCAAAACCCAGAAGTGTGTCCCAGGAGCAAACGGAGGCCCAGAGAGCTTATGAAACCTTCCCAGGAAACTAGCAAAGCTAGAATTCAACCCAGGCCCATCTTGTCTATGTGTTGTTGTTCTTCTGTGAACAAACAGTAGTACAAGATCCAGGCTGGGAAGGTTGCTCAGAGATGGAAGGAGCCTGTGCTCAGTAAAGTCAGTGAGGAAGGTCTCCTAGGGGAGGCGAGGCTTCAAATGGACCTCAGAGATCCGATTTGGAAAAACAGGGAGAAAAGAGGAGGGAGTGGATTCCAAGCTGGCATTGCAACGCAAGCACTTGGAACACTTGCCCACGGGTAAAAGCGGACCTGAGCTCCCATAGGACTCAGCACAACCAGAGGGAGTATGACCGAAAACAGAAAGCAGGCAATAAGAGGAAAGCCAAAGATAGAAGCACAGGAATCAGGGAAGTCCTCTTATGTCAAAGGCCTTGAATTTAAGCACATGTGAAATCAACACATTGTGAGAAAGCCAGAGCTCATAAATGCAGCATTTCTAGTACTCCTCAGTCGCATGCCAAGCTCTCAGTGGAATGTAGGGAAGCAAATGCCAGCTTTGAGTTCAGAGCAGAACTAGAGCTCCAGCTCCAGTGTTTAGCTCTATGTCCTGGGGCAAGTACCTTAACATTTTTTAGTCTCAGGGCTCTGCACCCACCAGGTGAAAACAATGCCACCACATCCTTGCAGGCTTATTCAGATGAAGTCCCTGGCAGAGAGACTGGCACAAGGCAGACCTGGAGTTTAATAAATGACAGCTCCCTCCTCCCTATTTTCACTCACTAGAGCCCTCCAATCTCCTAAGACAGTGTGCCCTTGAAAATAACCTTTAAAATTCAGAAATGCCAGGATTCCTAAATTTGATGCTGCCAGGGAATGCCAGGGTATTAGCAGCATATAACTTCTTACTGAGATTCTGGCTACTGTGTTCATCACTCAGAAGGAAAAGCTCAGGTTCAGGGGACAGTCAAGGTGTCTTCGGCAGCATGGCCAAGTGGTGCCTTGAGGTGCTATTTCCTGCCCAATCTCCACAGGGCAAATGACGCTGTTTGTTTTTTCAGGAGGAGAAGTCACCAAACCGCGGTTTGCTCAGTTCTTTCATGGAAGCCTGGCCAGTCTCACTATCCGCCCTGGCAAAATGGAAAGCCAGAAGGTGATCTCCTGCCTGCAGGCCTGCAAGGAAGGGCTGGATATTAATTCCTTGGAAAGCCTTGGCCAAGGAATAAAGGTAAGGCAGGAGCTGGCATCACCCCCAATAAGACAGTGATTCACGATGCCCAGCCTGTGCAGTGCCAGCACGTGCTGGGAAATGGAACACGTGCTGGAACATTACACAGAAATGAGTCCATGGCAAAGGTGTGGCCACAAGATGGGGGTTCCGGGGGGGAGATTCGTAACCATGACTTCCACAATGGACTTCTGCTGCCATCTTCTGAAACTCCTAGATCAAGCCCTTGTGTATAGTCAGTCCACTACACAAAAGCAGGCACATGTTCAATATCCACCTGGAGGAAGTTGTTGTATTTCATTTGTGCATTAGTTGGCTGCTCTGTTGTTTATTTGGCTAAAGGAACTGAAGGATGCAAGGAAGCATTTCAATAGCCTAAAAAGTAAACAAAAACTTAGGACCTTGTAAAATACAAATTAAAAAGGAAAGTGAAAACCTGGGTGGGGTAGAATTAGAAAGCAGGTATGGAGGTCATTCTGTCTTACAATGTTGCTTCAAGGCCCAAGAAACATGGGCCGGCGTGGTGGCTCATGGCTCACACCTGTAGTCCCAGCACTTTGGGAGGCTGAGGCAGGTGGATCACAAAGTTGGGAGTTCGAGACCAGCCTGACCAACATGGTGAAACCTCATCTGTACTAAAAATACAAAAATTAGCCAGGCGTGGTGGCATGCACCTGTAATCCCAGGAGGCGGAGGTTGCAGTGAGCCAAGATTGCACCACTGCACTCGAGCCTGGACAATAGGGTGAGACTCTGTTATAAAAAAAAAAAAGGAAGAAGGAAAAAAAAAAAACATGAACAGTTCATGATTTGTATTGTTTATACAAAACAATTTTTTTGCATGATTTGTATTGTTTATGCAAAATAGAAATATTCAAGTGATCTCAGAGAAGCAAAGCTTCTTCTGACTGAAGCTTCTCTCATTCTCTCATTTGAGAGAAGCTCCTCCTGACGGGGGCAGGGAGGGATGTGACTGACTATGGCCTCAGCAAGCACCCCGACAGCCAGGGTCACTTTCTAACCTCACCTGGACTTTCAGAGCGAGCACATGTTGGTGCCGGCCCACGAGGTCCTGAATAAAGAGCAGAGCCAGTATCACTGTAGCTCCCACTCAATCATAGTGGACCCCAGTGTGAAAAGACAGTCCCTTGGCCTCCTCTGGAAGTTGGAACAGACCAGCCCGTGCCTCCTGGAGCACAGAACAGCCCCATAAAGCACCAGCAGCTGTGAGGATTTCTGTCCTTGGTCATTTCCCCAGAGAATGTGACAAAAGCAGAGGTTTCTCAGCTGGCCTAACATCCCTGACCCAGTACTGCCCATGGGCAGCTCTGCCCTGCCCTGGGCCTGCCTCTCCCGGACAGAGAGTCACCACTCCAAGAGAAATTTCCAGATCAGTAGCCTACTGCTAGTCATACTCTGGTGCTGGGTACTCTTGGAAAAGCTGGTGGTCTGAGAATATTCTTTAAATTGCAGCCACTTCCATAATCATTCCATGGACATGCTAGTATTCTGTTATAGGCTGGGTTCTGAGATGTGAAAAGAAATGGCCTGAGGAACTCTGTGACCCAAGCAGACATTTGTAATCCAGTCGATGACTACCACAATGATTATGAACACTAACATTTACTGAGGGTCTCCCAAGTTCCAGACACTATTTGTTCTAAACGTTTTATGGGTATTGATCCCCAGAACACTCTCATGACAAAGGTACCATAAATACTCCCATTTTGTACATGAGGAACGAAAGACTGAAGGAGGTGGGAACTTGCGTAAGATCCCAGAGTTAGTGATGAGTAGATTCGGTCCCACTCCAGAGATCCAGAATCTTGGAGAATGGCAGTCTGGGAAGTCTCCTTGGATGAGGAAATGAGGCCTGAGTAGAATGTTTAAGAATAGGTAGGAACCAGCTAGGAAAAAGGCAGGGGTGGAGAGGGGATGGGAAAGAGGGAAGTCATTCCAGGCAGATCCAAAAGTGTGAGTGATGAGAGAGGGCTGAGGAATAGCACAGTATTCAATAGAACTTCAACAAAGCCAGTGTTATGAGTCCCAAACGGAAGGAGAAAAAAGTTGGAAGGTGCCAGACAGGTAGGCAGAGGCCACGTCAGAGGCCACCTATTAAACATGTTTAGGTGTTTACATGGTTTGTTTTTCTGTCAACAATAGGGAGCCACTGAACGCTCAGGCAAGGGAGCATGATCTCAGCATATGTGGGATTTAGGATGCTCACTCTGGAGACTGGGGAAGATGGGAGGAGTACAAAAGTCACAGCAAGGCAAGATGGACTTTCCAGAACAACATTTAGCATGGATTAGATACACATACTTGTTCTCAATAGCTAATCACTTGTCATTGGCGCAAGCTCAAAAGACCATCTCATATGGGAAAGGCCAGTCTTGACGTACTGTTTGTGTTGCTTCCTTAGAGTTTTGTCAACCCAGTGATGCAGAAATCTATCCTCCTAGTGTCTTCTCTTTTTCTGATTCTAAATTTACTCTTTGCATCTGTCTAGATCTTCTCTGCTCTGAACTGTTCCAGGCAGGCACAGTTTCAGGATACCGGGCACCATAGAGCAAAAACACAAAGATGCTGGGCTCAAAAGTCATGCCTTTTTAAAATTATAAATTTAAGAACCATAGCAATTTCTACAGAGTCGTCATAGCCTATGAAAAGAAGAGGTGCTAAAATAAGTGGCACAAAAAAACTGTGGGCACTGAGGAGGCTAATCTGACTTTTCAGGACACTCCCTGTTTATAACCAAGTCACTGGAAATGATCCTTTTCCATTCCTAGGGCGTGGCTGGTAAGAACTAGAGCACCGTTTGAGGAGTTAATAAGATGCCCAATTTACAGAGCACACACTGGGGGCTATTTTATGTTCATTATCCCTGCTTCTCACAACAAATTAAATACTATGACCCCATTTCAAAACTAAGGGGACTGGGGCTCAGAGATTTGTCCAAAATCAGTTCATGCTCCTTCCTCCATACCAGCAACTCAGATTAAAAGACATTCTTGCAAATCATTAAAACAAATGTCCTTCCTTTCCTGCCTCCCTTTACCCCTCATGTCATTTCTGAATAATGACTATTACTTTATTTGCCAGTTACTGCCCTCCTCCCACATCTCTGGCTGGTTGAGGGAAGTGAGGCCCTTTTGTGATTAAGGAAATTCTCTGTCTGCTCACAGGGACCAGCCCATGTTTCTTGCTTTACCTGTCTTCTGAATCATGCCTATTTATGAATATTTCTCCAGCATGTCTAGAGTCCTAAAATGGTTTAGTGGCTGCTGTATTGTATCCATACAAGATACTGTGGAATCACCACATTCCTTAGTAATACTCTGTTCTGATTTACATAGCACAACCCCTGCCAATTTGTCATCTCCATCATGTGGAAGAGTGAGAAAGAGCAAGAACTTTAGAACTAGACACTGGTAGGTTCAGATCACTGCAGGAGGAAAAAGGTTGAAGGTCCCAGAGAGTTAGGTAGAGGCCACATCAGAGGCCACCTAGTAATCATGTTTAGGTGTTTATGTATTTTTCTGTCAACTGATTATTTATTAGCTGGGTTACCTTGGGCAAGACATATTAATCCTTTAAGCCCAAATCTCTTGTGTATAAAATAATATTATTTATCTTGTAGTGATGTTGTAAGAATTTAATTATATATCTAAATATATATTTATCTATATATACTATATATTTTATATATTTAACTATATATTATATATTTTACTATATATATAAAATATATCCTAGCAAACTTAATAGACTCTCAACAAATCACAGTTCCCTTTTGTGACAGAAGAACTTCTAAAGTGGCAAATCTTCATCTGGCCCCACTCACAGAAATGGTTCAGCTGAATCTGTAAGTCAGAAAAATCAGAGTCCAAATTTTGACTCTGTTATTTACTTAATATGGACTATGGGCAGGCAAGTGTCAGAGGTAGCAGCAGGGTTCCTGTCAGGTCATAGCCAGCCTGCTGTCAAGGATCAGGCCAGAGCTTTGATCAGGGACTTCCCTGATGGTCCAGCCTGCTGGGGTGCTAGAGATGCCAGTCAAACCTCTAAGAAAAGCCCCTAATAAGAAGACCATTCTGTAAGGGCTGTCTAGCATCTTCTTGGCTCAACGAAGGGCTATAGTCACTGCACAGATACCCAAGGGCGAGTGAGCAATGTCACCCTTTGCTGGGGCCCCTAGCATGCCACCATCTCCTGCCCTGGTACAGATGCAAGTACAAACAGGTCCCCTGTTTAATCAGACACCCACTCACAGAGCTGGGAATACTGCGGTAAAAAAACAAACAAACAAACAAAAAAAAAAAACACCCAAAACCTGCTCTGGAGGTTTTATTGACCCTGCAAGAACTATGCTGCTGGCTAGGCCAGTGCCCACCTTCATGCTCTGTGGCAGACCTCCCAATGCTGTGGCACAGACCAGGGTATTAACTGGAGATCCAACACACTCTCTCTCCTGGTCTCTCTCCATGTGGCTGCAGCGGGATTGTGCCCTCTGCTGATTGCCACAGGATACTGCTTATCCGTCCCTCTAGAAGAACCTCTTGATTTTCCTATGCAGCCCTCATGTGAGGCTCAGAGACCAGCCTCCACTGCAGACCTGTCATCTACCTCATGCTTTTCATGTGCTAGACCCTGCAGTGATGCTGAGGAAGTCAGTAGCCCCTGCCCTTGAGGTGCTCACCATCTGCTGGAGGATGCAGACAGACGGACACACAGATAGTAACAGCACAAGACTGCTACAGGAGGATGGTGCAGGGGACAAGGCTGGAGAAGAGGGGCAGAAAAACCTTTTAAAACATAGATGGTATTTGTAGAACAAGGACCTTGAGTCTTCTCAAATCTGAAACTGATGACTTGCGAATACTTCAGAACTAATCATGACTCACTAGCGTGAGGCAGCTCCAGGGATAAGCACTCTAAGCTGGTGAGGCCTTCCAGGCAAGAGAGATGCCAACTCAGACACTGACTGTGGCATCAACCATGCCTATGCCTGGGGGCTCCAGGGTCTAGCACCAGAGAGTGGTGCTCATGGCCAGATGTCAGGCTCAGAGAGACAGCGCTCCTCAGGACTTGGAAGGACAGAAGAGAATTGTGTCACAAGGACACAAGTGCAGTGAAGGCTGGGGCACAAAGACTCAGTGCTGGCATAATTACAATGGTAAGAATGATCATCCAAACTATCATATATTTAATATCTTGTAAGTGCTAGAAACTTTATATATATATATATAAAGTTTATATATATATAAAACTTTATATATATATATATTTATATATATATTTTTTATATATATATATAATTTCATTTAAGACCCACACAGGTAGATATTCATTTCACCATTATTTAAACGAGGAAATGAAGTCTCAGAGGGGAAAGGAAATACTCCAAAATGGTACTTTGTACTAGAACTGGAATATTACAGTCCACAAAGCCCACGCTCTTTGAAAGATGCCTTATGACCTTGGGGAAGTGAGAATCAGGCCTGGGAAGTGCTAAATTTTCCCAAACAGGCTAAGCTGTTACAGTAGCATATGATCCCCAAACCTCAAGCCTCACTGGCTTAACATGACAAGTTTAGTTTTCTCCTATACTCAGCCAGGGAGGTGGGGTGGGGTTTCTGCATAGAATGCTGCAAGCCACTGAAGTGGAGGAAAAAAAGAGGCTCGAGCATCTTACAGGGTTTTTCACTGCCTCAGCTCAGAAGTGCGACACCTCACTTCCTCTCCTGCCCATTGGCCAGAGGTAGTCATGTGACTCTGGCCACCTGTGGCACAAGGTGGCTGAGAAGTGTAGCCTCCACAATGCCCAGGAAGGAAAGGAGAACAGGGTTTGGTGAGTACTGATAATGACTCCCACAGAGCTTCACTAAAAAGACAAGTAAAAGAAAGAAGTCCCTTTGGGGAGTGACAGGAGATGACAGTGAGTACAATGTAGGCTGGAGACCCTTCACTCATTCATTTTACAGGGTCTTTTAGAACACTAAGGCTAAGTTCTGGGATTCAGGGATAAGAGGCTCATTCAGAGGTAAGAGGATACAATCTCTGTGCTCATGGGCTACTGTCCACTGTACTATATAGTGGTGTTACCATTTTGTAAGTGCTATAGGAGAAAGGCACCAAAGCCCAGTGGGAACCAAGATGAGAGAAGCTGGGAGGCCTTATGAGTAGGTAACAATGAAACACTCATGTGATGATTCAAGGTAACAAAGATTGAGCTATCAATCCTATTGGCTAGGGGACACCATGCAAGGGATTTAGGTGGTTCAGTGTCACCAATAGTGCTCAAGAGACATCCAACTCCTGTTTCAGTCCAGACACAGAACAGAACACCCTTATAAAGACATTCAAGTCAGATCAGGGAAAAGTTAATATACATTTTTCCTTAAACCTATGAAAAGATATACTCAGCTCCTCATACTAAGAAAAATACACATTAAAACTACACTAAGATGGCATTTATCATTTATCAGATTGGCAAAAGTCCTGATATCTGATGGCATACTGTGTTGCTGAGGAATTGCATTCATACCCTGGTGGAAGGAGTATGCATTGATATAATCTCTAGCAATGGAGAAGTTGGCAGCATTTCTCCAAGTTAAAAGTGCATATACTCTTTGACCTAGGAATTTCACTTGTAGTGATGTATCCTACAGATGTGTTTGCAGAAGATTATTTATTCTAACATTGTCAGTAAAAGTTTGGAAATAACCCAAATGTCCATATTAGGAAACTGGTTTTAAAGATTACAGTTTATCTATACAATGGAATACTTATACAGCTACTAAAAATGAATAAGGAAGCTTGTCATGTATTGATACAGAAAAAGCTCCAAGATATGAGCCAAGTAAAAAATAAAGTGTGATACATTATGTAATGAGATAGTTTTGATATAAGAAAGAAGAAAAATGGAAATCTATATTCACTGATTATATATTTATAAGAATGAGTATAACTGTCAGGATAAGCTAAGTTATGCTACAGTAACAAATTATTTAATATCTAAGTGGCTTATACAACAACATTTTATTTATTGCTCATGCTTCATGTCCATTATAGATTGGCTGCAGCTCTGATCCATACCTCCCTCACTGTGAGATGCAAGCTGATGGACCAGCCCCTAATGGAATGTTGCCAGTTTCATGGCAGAGAGAAAGGGATGTTGCAAACCATGAACTGGTTATTAAATCTTCCATAGGGTATGAATCAAACAATATTTCTGCCCACATTTAGCTGACCAAGCAAGTAACATGACCACTGCTGAGTGCAACAGGGCAAAAATGTATATCCTGCAGGGAAGGGTACCATAAGTCATATGATCAAGCTTATTAACAATAGGGCAGACATGTATAAGTCTCTCACGGGAGGGGAAGCAACTAATTGTGAACAATAATGCAATTTACCACTAAGAAACTAACATAATAATGAGTACTTGTGGGATGTGACTGTGGAAACTGAGTGGATGGGAGATAGAAATAAGATAGCTACTTTTCACCTAGCACATGTGTACATTTGAACCATGTGAATATATTAACTATTCAAAAGAGTAAATAATTTTAAGTTAGGTAGCTACTTAAAAAAGATCCATGTCTCCCTTTCCTGTGCCATGAGCATTCAATATATAATCTGAATTCACAGATATGTTTCTGATATTTTACTGATAGCATTTCCTAATAATTCTTGCTCAGAAGTGTGTCAAAGTCAGTAATTCAGGGCAGTACAAAGGCAGTTTCCCCTGCCTCATTCCAAGAAGAGTAACTGCCGCGGGGACATGGAGAAGGCAAGAGTCTATGTCCAGCTTGAGTACCCAAGTGACTCAGTGGGGAGAATCGCCACTACATGGCCTTTAGCAAGTGTGGGATACCAGGGACTTGGGATGAAATGGATAGATAACAAACAGGGCTGCTGGCAGATGTGTAAGCAGCAGGTGAGTGCAACTCATGGGAAACCAGTGTGTAACACTTGAAAAGCAAGAAAAAAAATTAGATCTGAGAGAGAAAGAAAACCATTAACTGAAAAATGAACTTGAAGGTTGGAAGCTAAGAAGATAGGGCGTGGGTCAGAAAATGGAGTGCAAGATGAATTTGGGGAGCAGTTCAAGGCCAAAGACAAAGACAGCAAAAGGAGTCAACACCCAAGTTCTGAATGGTCCAGACCACCCGGTAGCACAGAGCATGGGCTACTGTTCTCCAAGGGCTGGGCTGTGAGAGCACCGTGGCTGGGTTTTCAATATTCAATCCTGTGGCTCAGACCAATATTAGCAGGCACAGTTCCTGGAAAGACTTCATAGGAGAGGGCCACAAAGCCCACCAGAGAGTAGGAGGAACTGCTTGAGAGTTTAAACACTATCATTTGTACACACAAATGGGTCACTGGCAGATGCTCTAGAGGTGTTTATGGTGACCTTTGGTGCCCTGTATGGACAGGAAGTGCTCCCATAAAACCATGTACATCCTGACCATTCTCTTCCATGATGCTCACTTTTGTCTTCCAGTATCACTTCAACCCCTCGCAGTCCATCCTGGTGATGGAAGGTGATGACATTGGGAACATTAACCGTGCTCTCCAGAAAGTCTCCTACATCAACTCCAGGCAGTTCCCGACAGCGGGTGTGCGGCGCCTCAAAGTCTCCTCCAAAGTCCAGTGAGTGGACACTGATCAGCCTGGGGCCAACTGAGGCAGCAGGGTTGGTCCCTTGGGAATGTTCCATTGCAAAACAGGATTTGCCTTTCTTCAGCTGTCCCGAACTTCTGCTATTCCTATGAGGATGCTTCAATGGATCTGTGTTCTTGTTTTCTTCTTAAGCAAGATGTTCTGCTGTTTTACCACCTTGAATCCACCTTTCTCTATTTTACCGTTTCTTATCTAATGCCTTACTGCTTTCTATAAATTCTCAGAGAGCTGGGAATTTGAAGTGATCGGGGTATGGGTTTGAAGTGTTCTGATTTAAGGGCACAGTGCCTGGTACATAGGAAGTGCTTGACAAATGTTTATTAAATTGAATTAAGTTAACCAACCCAGCTATGTAGAGTTCCTAAATCCCGTAGGTATGCCAGAAAAACAGAAGGCATGGGTCTTGTTTCCAGAGATCAGAGTTAAATGAGAGGATTACTGAAGCCTTTGGATAACTCACTCACTGGCCTATCAAATCACTTCTCAGCCACAGTGGCTACCTTGGAGGGCTGCTAGGAGGGGGATCCCAGGAAAATTCCTGGAAGGTGGAGGTGCAGTCATGCAGCACCTAGAGTTGGGAGAAGGACTCAGAAAGAGAGGAACAAGGATGGGAAGGATGGGTCTGCTGACTGCCACATTGTTGGAGCCTGAGACAGGTGCCAGAAAAAAGCCTGTAGATGGTGGTTACATTCAATAGTTCTGGAACAATGGAGGAGTGCTCCACCATTACAGGCTTAGGGGTAGGAAGCAGGTACCTCCAGGTCAGTGCCACATTAGAGTGAAGATGAGAGAACAAACTGGCCTATGTCCTGCCGAGACCAGCCTTCTGCAAACTGAAGAAAGGTGACGAGTGCTGTGGGGCTGGCCTGGCACAAGCGGGAGAAAACTGGGAAGAGGAGGAGGCCACCACAGTTCCCACATTTCACCCACCCACAGAAGAGGATAGAGTAGCTCAGCATGGCATCCATCCAGACTATCCTTTCCTCGGGAACTGTCCCAAGGCATGTAAGGTGATGGCTGTCACCAGCTGAACCCCACTCCCAGAGCATCTGCCTGGCTCTGGGGTCCCCCATTTTAACCTACATCTAGATGACCAGGGGAGAGGGCTAATGACATAATGCCCCCATGAGGTCTGACGAGAGGTTCAAATCAACCACTGTTTACTGAGCTCAAACCGTGATGCAAGCTCTGGTCAGCTTCTTTTCTATACATGTCTGCATTTAATCCTTTACTGTAGGACAAAATTATTGTTATCCCCATTGTATAGATGAAGAAACTGAGGTTCACAGGAGTTGAGTGCCTTGTCCACATTTACCCAGCCCAGAAGTGTCAGAACCAGGCCATGGATCCTTGTCTGTCTCAGACCTCACTCTTGTGGCCACACCATTTCTGCCTCCCAGATAATTGTGTGGCAGTGTATCAGGAGAAAGGAGGGTGAATATGATAGCACTTTGCTCTTACACCTAGTAAAGGCACACGTGTGTGATATCCACATAGAGTCATATCATATAAGCTGAGGCAGGAGAGTTTAGCCCTGGGGTCTCAATTAGTAAGATGGTTGTAACCGACCAGGTAACAATTTGCTTACCAAATACTAATGCATGTAACAAGCAGTTGCTATCTAATTAATGTTGCCATTGATTACTTTGTTAAAGGATGATGAAAGGTTTCATAGTTATGTGTTGCACGTATAGAAAATTCCCATTTCTCTCAGGAGCCAATTTTTCAAGTCCCTGGATCACTAGTGGTTTTGATTATAATGTTTAATTATAATGTTTTGATTATAATTTGAATGTCTGTTGACATCCTCAGAGACTCTTAGGCAGTCAGGATGCCTGGTTAAGAACTGGAGGTGGCAACCCCTTATTCCTGGCTGTATGACAGATGGTTTAATTGCTTGCTCATCAGTGCCATGACCGAGGCTGTTTTCCCAGGTGCTTTGGGGAAGACGTATGCATCAGTATCCCCGAGGTAGACGCCTATGTGATGGTCCTGCAGGCCATCGAGCCCCAGATCACCCTCCGGGGCACAGACCACTTCTGGAGACCTGCTGCTCAGTTTGAAAGTACCAGGGGAGTGACCCTCTTTCCCGATATCAAGATTGTGAGCACCTTCGCCAAAACTGAGGCCCCCGGGGATGTGAAAACCACAGGTACAGGTGCATTTGAGTTTGTGGGGAGGGTGGACCTTAATTTTTTTACAACCATGAAAACATACTTCAGAACAACAGCATTGTTCATGTAATGTATACATTGCATAAATGTATACATGGCAGCATAATGTAATATAGCAAAACAGACAAAGAGCTATAAACAAACGAAAAGAATATGAGGGGAATGGATGGTTTAGCAATGAGGGATATGAGGTTGGAGGGAATGCATTTGTGCTAAATGGTAAGTGAAAAAAATGCAAGACACAAAGTTACATAGTACTTACAGATAGAATGATCTCAACCATTTAAGAAAAAAAAAAAAAATAGAAAAATGCCAAGGACACACACCCTATGCTAACAGGGTTATTCTATGCTAACGGTTATTCTTTGAGAAGCATAGTGAGAGCCAATTTGTTTCTGCTTCCCTTCCCTTTCTGCAATTGCAAAAATGTTCTATAGTGGGCATATATTATTCTGATAATCAGAAGAAAAGCTAAAGACATATAAAGAAAAAATATAGCTGCATCTTTATATATACACCATAAAAGTTAGGTCTCATTCAGTAATATTACTGTAAGCTCTCAGAAAACTTTTAAGTTGTTATTTCCAACAACTTCATTATTGGAAAAGTTTTTCAGTGAAAGAGGAGTAATTTGAATTACCTACCAAAGGGAAACAGTTACACTGAAAGCTATAGTATATGATGCGGAAGGGGAGGAGAAGAGAAGGAAGGAAACTGGGAAAGGAGCAAGGGAGGGAGGGAGGGAAGAAAACCTCCCTTTTGTTACTCTGAGGGATGGGGGAAATATAAATTTAAGAAGTGTCCTTTGCTGCCTCTTCCAAGAGAATATTTTCAACTCTCCCCTCCCCCTCCAAAAGCCACTGCTAATGATGTGCTGGTGCCTCTGGTCCTGAGTCCCTGAAGAGTTGCTGTTCTAATAATCCTAACTACCTATTGACTTAAACCACCCTGGTCCCTAGTGAACGGGGTACTCAAGAGACAGCCCTTCTTAGCTCATAAAAAATAGATGGTGTTTTACCACCTGTCCGGGCAGGGCAGTTCCCTAGTCACAGACCAACATTCATTAGGTTGTGTGATCATCCCTCTTCCCCTGTTCTCATTTGTGGCTAAAATCAGACAGAAATAAAGAAGAGCCTCTGACTTCAGTGGTTGCGGGCCATGACCCAAGTGTCTGGATTTGCTACATCTGACACCAGCAAACAGGCAATGCAAGGAAGAGCAATTATCTGGGTTCACATTTCATCTTCTGTTTATGAGAGGTACAGGCAGAGCACATAGTCAAGTGTCCAAGGGCTATTACTAGTGCCTTTAAATTTTTACTCCTATTGTTGTTGGAATGGTCATTATTATGGATATCTTAAACAAGTAGGATAATGGCATTTGCCACCAGGCCTCAGTGACTGGCTTCAGCATCATCTGCTGCCCCCATTGACACTCTTTATGCTGTCAATACCAAAGACAGGAGGTTCCCCCAACATGCACACACACACACACCCCCCACGCTCTGTTAGTTCACAACTCTGCTCTGCTATCTGGCTGGAAGGTCCCTTTCCTTCCCTATCCCTTGATTCCTGGCAAATAACTCTGCCTTCAGCACCTCCCCAAGTAGGCTCTCCCACCACCACCATTCTGACACTCCCAACTGCTGGTGCTTCCCTCAGCACACACTTTTTAGCCCTTGGTGGTGATTTCCTGTTTATTAAACCAGACCAGGAGACCCCGAGGGCTCATCCATGGCCACTTTGCCTCTGGGTCCCTGAACCCAGCACACTCCCTTCTACACAGTGGGAATCCAGGAAACTGCAGATGGAAGATAATACCCATGGTGAGAGAGCCATGAGAAAATGGCAGCCGTGACACACTCCCTACCTCAGGGAGCTCTCAGTCAGCCACAGTGGGAGGTAGGAGCAAGGGCAATATGACCAGACCTGACAAGAAGCCAGCAAAAAGTCTGGAAACTGTGAGAAGGCCATTTGAAATAAAGATGCACATACAGCATTGCTAATTATAGACCCTGTCTTAAGCATATGTTATTGTGCTTTTAGATTTTGCTGATTATACATGAAACCATTATTATTGATAAGTATTTAAAAATTAAGATAAAGAAATTATGTATAATAATATATAATATATACCTAGTGAGAGCAAAAATATTTTTGGTATCATTTAAAAACTTAAAAGATAATTATTTAAAATAATCCATCTTTAGTGAATTTTTTAAATTTCTATTTTAATAAGTGTTTTATAACACACAAAGTATATTTAGTCCACTTTATGAATAAATAAATATACTTATTTAAATTATCTCTCTTCACAAGTTTTTCAGTAAAGGAGTGCAAGATCAAAACCACTTGAAGACAACTAGCCTATCATCAGTGAGATGGGGATAGTAATAGTACTCCCTTTAATGTCTATTAGGATTATATTTCCACATGCCTGGCACATAGCACATACTTCATAAATACCAATCACCTTTTTAAGATGGGATTTTAATTTAGGACTGCCAAACTCTGCCCGGCATTCAAATACTCACACATTTCTTTGGGAAATTTGGCATCATACAATTAGGCAAGGACAACTTGACTGACCAACATGCTAATGTGCTCCCCTTGGAGCACATTAATTATATTAATTTATCAAATATTGATAATTGGTTATATCATATTGACTTGATTATTAATTAATGATTCAGCTCCATTTGAGCAAGATTTAGTAATAACTACTCCATGCTAGTTCCTGGGTTAGACACTAAGGATTCAATCATAAAAAGATAGTGCTTCTGCCCTTCAGAATCTCAGGTGGTTGGGGAGACAGACACATTAGGACCACACAGAGAAAGCTATGAGAGCATGGTGGAAGGCCACTTATCTCTTCCCAAATGAGAGCTATTGCTTATTGAGCACCTACAATGTGCATTAGATACTGTTTTCAATCATCTCAAGACTCTTGCCTTCCTTACAGGTGAGGAAACTGAGTGGTACGTAGTTCCTCTAACACTATGCAGCTTCTCAGCGGCAGAGCTGGTATTCAAATCACATCTTTTGGCTACAGTATTTATGCTCTTCCCACTAATTCATGCTACGCAACCTCAGGGCCGCCTGGACATCTGAGCAGTCAATGTGGTATTTGGGATCACACAGACACTGTTCCTGACCCAGCCTTAACCTGGGGTGCAATAACAGAGGAGGGAGATGATTAGCAAGGACTGTTTTCTGAGCTGTCCTTCACGCCTGCATTTCCCGTGTCTGTCTTCCTACAGCCCCCAAATCAGAAGTCTTAGAGGAAATGCTTCATAACTTAGATTTCTGTGATATTTTGGTGATTGGAGGGGACTTGGACCCAAGGCAGGAGTGCTTAGAGCTCAACCACAGTGAGCTCCACCAACGACACCTGGACGCCACTAATTCTACTGCAGGCTACTCCATCTACGGTAAGGCCACACTCAACCCCCTTTGCCCCAAGGGTGTCCTCTTAGAATGTCCTTGTCCAGGGAGACATGAGTGAGACTGCACCTGTGAAGGAGCACTGTGAAGCCCCAGGGACCAGCTGGAGATCCTTGGCCTCAAGCATGGATTTCTAGACCCTCCTCTGGCAAGTTACTCAAGCATCTTGGGGACCAGTCCCACATTCCCACTCCTGGGGAATTCTTCTGTAGAAGCTGGGTGGATGCCTTCTCTTACAATGTTTGATTTCAGCAACTGTCACAGCAACATCTGGAAGATTGAGGCAGTCTGTATGGAAAGCTTGTACATCAGTGTAATTTTGGCCCCTTAGAGTTTCTGCACATTGTCTGCCCAACGTATCTTGAGCTCTTACCCTCAACAAATTTACAAGACCTGCGAGGTCTCGTACCACAAGCCCCAGCCTGTCTCTTCTCTTCCTCCTCCCCTTCTGCTTCTGATGACAGGTGTGGTCTCTTGGCACAGGTGTGGGCTCCATGAGCCGTTATGAGCAGGTGCTACATCACATCCGCTACCGCCACTGGCGTCCAGCTTCCCTTGAGGCCCGGCGTTTCCGGATTAAGTGCTCAGAACTCAATGGGCGCTACACTAGCAATGAATTCAACCTGGAGGTGAGTGGGTCCTGCCATTGTTAGGGAAGCCAAGGCTCACCCATTCCCTCATCATTCATTCAGAACTGCTGTAACTGGCTCACCTGCCACTCCTGGGTCAATAGCACCTCTACCCACTCTTCCCAGGTCAGCGTCCTCCATGAAGACAGAGTCTCAGATAAGGAGCATGTCAACCACCTGATTGTGCAGCCTCCCTTCCTCCAGTCTGTCCATCATCCTGAGTCCCGGAGTAGCATCCGGCGCAGTTCAGGTAGGGTGCCCAAGAGGAGGGACCCTCAGGACACAGGTGGTCATTGTGACTCAAGACTATCTACTCAACAGACAGTTATGTTGTAGCAAACATAGGTGCCCAGAACTGAGGGAGGGAACCCAGCAATGGAGAAAATGTGCCCTGGCTCTGAGACACTCACACCCTCAATAGGCAGTCAATAGGTAAACAAGAAGTTACACAACACACATAATAGCAGAGGTCACTACAAAGGGCTGGGACAAAATTTCAGGCCCAACTCAAAACTATGTCCAGGATGAAGCTTTCCATGAGCCCTTTACACACACACACACGTATGCACCATATTGCAAAGTCCTCTGCCTACATTTCTGTTTGAGCATTTGGCATATTGTGTTACCATCTGGTGGGCACTTGTATCTGTTTCTACTAAACTCTACCGTGCTTGGCTCTGTGGAAATTTCTTTATAATTTGAGGGGTAAAGCCAGGAATAAAAGAGAATTTGCATTTAATGAACACCTATACTGTGCCTATGTGGAAACTTACAGATTAATTTAATTTACACCTATTACTCATAGGATAGGAATTATTATGTCCATTATAGAGGTGATGAAAATGAAACCCAGACAGGGTAAGGTGCTGCTCTAGAGTTCTACAGCTGGAAAGTGGTAGGGCAGACTTTATCCTATGCATGGATGTTTCATTCATGCTCCCTCACAAGAATGAGCTAGGCCTTTGTTCGCCATGTCATGGGAGTTTCTTCCTTGTTCCAGTGGTCCCAAGCATTGCCACGGTGGTCATCATCATCTCCGTGTGCATGCTTGTGTTTGTCGTGGCCATGGGTGTGTACCGGGTCCGGATCGCCCACCAGCACTTCATCCAGGAAACTGAGGCTGCCAAGGAATCTGAGATGGACTGGGACGATTCTGCGCTGACTATCACAGTCAACCCCATGGAGGTGATCCCCATGCAGGGCTGGGAGTTCTGGGTGGGGCGCTTCTCCCTCCACCCAGCTCAACCCTTCCTATGCCTAAAGCTGCCCCATACCCCCGCCTTCTGGAAGCCCTGCCCCATCTAGTCCAGCTCCACTGGTTCTTCCTGCCTCTGAGCTCCTCTAGCCCTCTCAACCTGAACAGACCATACCTTCCCACCAACTACATTCTCTGATTTAAAATGTATTCATTGCTCTTACCCCACAAACAGAACCAGAAATTTTGTTAAGGCAAGCAAACACCACGAGGTGGCTATGCCTCGTTTCCCCCACAGTATTTAGCTCAGAGCTAACTAACCCTTAGGGACTCAGTACTGAAGTTTTGATTAACTAACAGTGCAAATTAGATGGCTTTGCTCCATACTGCCTGAAGAGTTCACTCAAAGGCTTGGAACAGATTAAAAGAAAAATATAGCAGCAATGCCTGCCATTTATTGAGCCTCCATTATGCCAGATACTGTATAGAGTGCTCTATATACACCACCTCATTGAATCTTCCAAAATCCTATAAAATAGGAGTTATCATCTTCATTTACCAAGGTGAAAGCCAACTAAGAAAAAAAGTAACATACTCAAATTAACCCCGCCAATAGTCAAATTTAAGGATGTCTGATTCTAAAGTCCATATCTTTCCAATTAGCCAACAGCCCCCAGAATCTATCCATGAGTGTCAAGCGAAGCCCTCTACATCATGCCCTTTGCCCATGGGTTCTGGGTGATGGTAGACGCAGGCTTAGAAAAGGTAGGGGAAGATGATTATCCCAGCCTGGTCCCCAGTTTCCACCTCAGCTGGCCTCACACTCCAGTTTCAAAGGCAGTGTGCTGATTTGGCTCAGTTTCTCCAAGCATGTGCTGTAGGTAAAGTGCTGAGCTCAGTGCTATACAGACTCCAGGATTTCCACCTTCAAAGAGTTGAGACTGGAGTCTAGAAAACAAGACCAGTATACCTGGAGTGGTCTGAGGACAAGGCAAGAGTGTGCCTAACAAGGGCCAACCTTGTGATGTCAAAAGTCAATGAGCTTGAGGAGGAAAAGCCTTCAGGACTGCAACAGTTAGGGAAGATTCCTTGGAGGAGGTTGGCCTGGGGGAGGCCTTGAAGAGTGGGTAGGATTTGGGTAGAAGGTAGGAGGTAAAAGACAATTCCCAAGAAGTGTCAGGGGAGGGGGTGGGTAGCCAAGCAAGGAGAAACAACTTTTATGACCTGGTTCATCAACACAGAACATAAATCCAGAAATAAAATTTTGCTGGAATTATCCAAAAGCTGGAGTGAGGGGGAATTGGACTGGAAAGGAAGGGGTACAGCCTGAGGACACAGTCAGGGGGTGAGCAGCAAGCATGGAAAGTGAGGACCAATAAATTTGTCCTTTCCAAAGGAATATTTTTGAGGGGAAGCATAACTGAGTCTTTGCTTAAAATGCCTTCTGCTCCCAGGGACATTGCATGCACACTTGGAAAAGAGACACAAGATCAAATGCCATCCTCTCACTGAGAAGCAAACACTAAGGCTTGCTTCTTAGAAGCAAACACTAAGCTCCATTTAAATAGGCTCCAGAAATGCCTGAAAATAAGCCTTGGCCTGAAAGGTTCAGTAAATGATGGATAGGATTGGCTTCAATGTCCAGCCCATCATTTATACCCAACAGTCTACCTTGAGTTCATGCTTTGGAATTTGCTGCTATTTCAGGCTTTTGCCTTGAACTTTCTAGCTTCCTTTTTATCAGAAGACTTCCCTTCCAGGAAGTCTGTGTCCAGGCTGAAGAGTTTGGCACTAAGAGAAGAAATTCCAAGGGGCCCTAAATGTTTCCTTAATGGATGGAGAAACATAAGCTCCAAAGTGGCCTCTGTTCAGCCCCTGACGAGCATTTCCTTTCTCTCCTTGATATCCAGAAGCATGAAGGACCAGGGCACGGGGAAGATGAGACTGAGGGAGAAGAGGAGGAAGAAGCAGAGGAAGACATGAGCTCCAGCAGTGTCTCTGATGACAGCGAAGAGGAGGAGGAGGAGGAAGGGACGGGCAGAGGCAGACATGGGCAGAATGGAGCCAGGCAAGCCCAGCTGGAGTGGGACGACTCCACCCTCCCCTACTAGCACCCAGGGGTCTGCTGCCCGGCCCACATGTCCCTTTTGTAAACCCTAACCCAATGTATGCCTATGTCTATCATACCTCACCTCTGATGTCTGTGACACGTCTGGGAAGGCCTTCTCCAGCTTCCTGGAGCCCACCCTTTAAGCCTTGGGGACTCCCTGTGTCTCATCCATGGGGAAGTTCCAAGAAGCCCAGCATGGCCATCAGTGGGGACTTCAGGGTAGACTTTGTCCTGTAGCCCCCACTTCTGCCCTAAGCTCCCCAGCATCCTGTCTACCTGTCTGCGGAGTCTGCCTTTGCTTTTTCCTGCAGGGAAGAAGGTCCACCTTTGTGTCACTCACCTCCCCAGGCTCAGAGTCCCCAAGGCCCTGGGGTTCCAACTCACTGTGCGTCTCCTCCACACAGACCAGCAGGTCCTCCTATGCTGACTCCAGGTTGCTTCACACAGGGAAGGTGGTTGGAGCTTCACACACCTAAGGTCTTAGTGCTTAACAGTTTAAAGGAAAGTCCTTGTTGAGGCAGAACTAAGTTCACAGGGAAAGGTACACACATTCTCTCTCTCTCTCTCTCTCTCTCTCTAGTTCCCCAGCTTGGAGAGCCTTTCCCTTTGCTTCTTTCTGAGGCCACATAAGCTTAGAAGAAAAGTCCTAAACCAAGAATAGGTCCTTGGCCACAAACAGGGCCTGATCCCCCATCAGAGCTATCTGAGCCTGCCTGCCTGGGCACCTGCTGCAACCCTGCAGCTACCCTGCCAGGGGCACTCACCACACAGAACCACAGGGCCCGGGAGGCATTCCACACAGGCACTGCCCCAGGCGATAGCCACAAGCCTAGAGCCAGGAAGCAGAAGGAAATGCTAACGAGATCACACACAGGCTTCATGGTGGGTGCGGTGGGGGTGGCTGGGCTCTCCCAGGACAGAGGGGACCCTGAGGTTGGCAAGGCTCTCCCCACTCAGCCTCATGGTCCCTTATCTCCTATTTTACACTATTTTCCCTCTTGAGAAAATACGCGCTTTCCGGATGTATTAGAAATGCACGAGCTCCACCAAGTCTACAATGAAAGTTTGAAATTTAACTGCAAGGAATTAGAAGCATATTTGCAATCATTGCAGCTTCTTCTTTCTTCTGCTCATAAAAGGAGGAACACTTTAGATAGAGGGCAAATATATCTGAAAACCTAATTTCTTTCTTTTTTTGATAAGGAAATCTTTTCCATCTCCATCCTAACATGCACAACCCGTGAAGAGAATTGTTTCTATAGTAACTGGTCTGCAATCTTTTGTGGCCAAGAGAATAGCAGGCAAGAATTAGGGCCATGACAGAATTTCCACGAAGCTCTGAGAACATGTTTGTTTCGAATGTCTCAGGTTCCTCTTTGTCCTCAATGTGTACGATCTGTCCCCATCCTTCACTCCTCCCAAAGCTCACACCAATTGGTTTGGCACAGGCACGGAGCTGGTCCCTAGTTAAGTGGCATTTATGTTTACAAAAAAAATAGTTCAGAATATCAGCCTTTTTCATTGTGTCATCAAAACAGCTTAAGAAGGGGACTACTGCCAATGTCCTCTAGTCTGACCTCCACCCAGGGAGGACCCATGGCAGGCCTTTTCAACTTTCTGATTCATGAGAATGACCTTGTGCAGCTTTTCTCACCTCCTAAAATGTTTTCTGTATCTGTTCCTTCCTTTGGACCTCACAACAAATCCTGTGAAGTAACTGAGACATCTGTTGTTAGACACATTTTTGTGATGAGTAAACTGAGGCTTGGTGATTCTATGTCTTGTTCAGAGTTGTTAAAATGTATAGACAAGCCCAGACTCCCCAGTTCCACTCCTGGTCCAGGATTCTACTTAGGGGTCATAGGTATGCACCTAACAGACACTGCTGCAAACCTACTATGTGCTAAGCATTCTACCAACGGCTGTGAGAAAAAGAAAAGCTGAATAAGATGAGCTCCTCCCCAACAGAGGACTTTATATTTGCAGAGGGGAAATAAAACAGGCCTAAAAATCACACAAGAGGCAAATGAAGGGAAAGAGGAGAAGTCACAGGAGAGGAAGGATGCGGTCACAAACTTAACCAGTGCTCTTGTTTTCCCCTCCTTAGGGAAAAACACCAGGAGAAGCTGGGGTTTTGTATTCATTGGATGGAAATAGATATTTCTCCTGGGAATTCTCCCAGCCAGATAGCCCTTTTCTATTAGGCTGTGTCTGTCCATCCACAAGAGGAAAGTCTGTAGGACTGATTAGTTTTCACGATCCCATTTAAATTAAAAAAAAAAAAAATCTTTAGTTGGGCATTTAGGAGCTACTGAATTCTCCCAAAATTGTGGCAGCAAAAAGAACTCTTCATATGCTTAAAACCCATTCCTTTTGAATTCAATTTTGATTTTCAATATTTAAGTCTAGTTTTGTGAGAACGCTTTTCTCTTTGCTCAGTCTTTTCGGTCTGGTTGGGTAGGGAAGGTGCTCCTCATGCTCTCTGGGTGGCTGCCTTATTCATAGTTGAGAGAGCTGTTAGGTAAAATCTTTATATGTTTTGGGGTTTTTTGGTAGGGGGGTAGCAGGTAAAAGTGGCCCATGGCTAGGGCAGCAAAGATGAATAATTTGAGGAAGCATTTGGTTAGTGGACTCATTTGCAGAGAAACAGTGGTGACAACAAATCAGAGCCATTTCCCTCAACTCTGGCTATGTGAGGTCATTCTCTGCATGTCAGCTGCAAAGATCACGCACTTGAATGAATCCGCTGGGTCAGCAGGCATTGGTCATCTTCGCAACACCCTCTTCCTCACCATGGGTGAGAACAAGACGGGAGTGGTTATATCCCAGTAACAGAAGCTTTGGGAGGTATCCAGGTGAGCAGGGTAATGTGGCTTGCCCTCCCGCAGATATTCTGATCCCAAGGAAAAGGTGTCATTAATCAGTCTGGCATTTTCCACCCTCCATATGCTGGCATCCAGGAACCAAAACCCCTGAAGGCCTAGACACCCTGTGACCTCTCACTCAGATGTTGGCAGCCAGGCAGATACAGGCTCCTGTCCAGGAGGAACTGCTGACTGGTTTGGCCACAGCCCAGTTCATTGCCCGTCTTGCCAAGTGGACAACCAGATTCTGCCTTCCTGAGCTTGAAAATAGGCTACAACTCTCAGGTGATTCAGATGACATGGAGAAGTTGAAGGAGAAGATTGGAATGGTTAAATCCCAGTGTCGAATGAGTTGCTTCAGTGGAGTAAAGCAACCAGCTAGTTGGTAGCCTGCCTTAAAAAATACTAAACATATATCATACATTTGATCAAATGCTGTAAGCCTAGCCAAGGCCCAAATTCATCTAGATACCAAAAATGTGATTTCAGTGAAATCTCTTTTCATTACCACTTTCTTTTGTTATTGTTTGTTTGTTTGTTTGTTTGTTTTTTGAGCCGGAGTCTTGCTGCTCTGTCGCCAGGCTGGAGTACAGTGGTGCAATCTCGGCTCACTGCAACCTCCGCCTCCCAAGTTCAAGTGATTCTCCTGCCTCAGCCTCCCAAGTAGCTGGGATTACAGGCATCCACCATCATGCCCAGCTAATTTTTGTATTTTTAGCAGAGACAGGGCTTTGCCATGCTGGCTAGGCTGGTCTCAAACTCCTGATCTCAGGTGATCTTCCCACCTCAGCCTCCAAAGTAATGGGATTACAGGAGTGAGCCACTGCACCCACCCCTCATTACCACTTCCTTGAATTTACTCAGTCATCCTATCAAGCAGGGTTTAGACCAACATCTTTGCATTTAATAAGGGGTATCCTTTGTACACATGGACCATCCAGTGAGAGGGCTGGGGGTGGTGGGAAGCAATGTCCCCCATTCTTATATGTCAGGTGTCAGCAAACTACCTGTAAAGAGGCAAATAGTAAATATTTTGGGCTTTGTGAGCCATTTGGTACCTGTCACAAGTATAGTCGGCCCTCCATATCTGAGGTTTCCAAATCCATGGATTCAACCAACCTTGAATCAAAACTATTTGAGAAAAAAATGTATAGTTGCAACTGACCTGAACATATTCTTTTTTTCATTATTCCTTGAACAATACAGTTTAACAGTATTTACATAGCATTTACACTGTATTCGGTATTAGAAGTAACCTAGAGATGATCTGAAGAACACAGGAAGATGTGCATAGGCTGTATGCAAATACTATGCATTTGATATAAAGGAATTGAGCATCTGTGGATTTTGGTATCTGAGGGGGTTCTGGAACCAATCTCCTACAGATACTGAGGGATGACTGTACTCAGCTCTGCTGTTGTAGCATGAAAGCCGACAATACATACACAAATGAAGGTTTCAATACAACTTTATCTAGGTTCCATAAAACAATTTAAAAACACTAAAAAAGCATGCAGTTTGAATTTATATAATTTTCATGTCATTTTTTTACCCTTTTGATTTACATTTTTAATAATTCAAAAATATAAAACCTTTCCTCAGCCCATGGGCCATATGAAAATCAGCAGCCAGTTAGATTTGGCCCAAGGTCAAATTTTGCCAGCCCCTACCATAGACGCATGGAAGTTAGCCTCCCACTTCAGGAGAAAGCAAGCTGCTCTCCTAAGCCTCTCACCAACTACCCAGTAGTCTTTGTCTCCAAGCTGAACAACAGGAAAAAGTGCCATCGTTTTTAATTAAGCTGTTTTACAAGTCCGTGTTCCGGGGGAAAACAAAAAAGAAACAAACCAAACACTTGTTATTTGCTGAACTGACAAACTCTGACAGATATTCCATGAGAGTTGAAAGCCTTGGATGGAGGTGACTGCCTGGTTACTGAGTGCTAATTCCACTGAGGCAAGTGTTAGTCCCCCAGGCTCAGTGCCTTCCCAGCACAGCTCAGCCCATAATGATCTCTGAGCAGGAGTGTTCATTATCTCAGACTGATTTTCATTTCAGCCCTGCTCTTGCCATTGCTCTAAAAATGATCCTAAAGACTTGTGACTGTTTGAATCAATAGCAACATCATCAGTAGAAAGCCCCACCGAGCACACTTCAAAATTAGCAATCTTCTTGGCTCTATGACTCAATATCAACAAGCAGAAAAAAAGAGGGCTTAATTTTTTTTTTTTAAATCATACCCACATTTAAATTAACCAAATAGTTTTTACGAGAAAGTAGGGAAGTGGGTTTGATTCTTTGAAAGAATTTGCTAGTGAAAAGTAGATGATTTTTAGGTAAGATAAGGTTTAGGCCTCTGGGGGATCCCCAAAGCCTTCTGCAGTGTACTCTGGCAGGCTATGAATGATACAGGATTCTGTATATCAGACATTTATTGAGGCTGACAAGCAAAAGCCCTTGGCACCATTTAATTTTCACATAACCACTTTCCATTGTCCAGCTGCAGGCAAAGGAAATGAGCAATGAAAGTTTTGAAGTCTACCCCAATACCCTCATTTCCTGTCTTTACTTCCTTTACTTTATAGATGTATTCTATACCTGCTCTGTAGATCATGCTCTAGTTTTCCTTTTAATGCCAACTGGAAAAGGAGAGTTGGCTTTCCAGGGGCTGTGGATTAAGAGCCAGGCTTCACTCCATCCCAGGGAGACAAAAAGAGACGGAAGAAATTACCTCCAGCAGCACCCCAGAAAGCTGACAGACATTCCC